GGGTTTGGGGGTTTAGGTTTAGGGGCTCGGGGTTTAGGCGCTTAGAAGGTTGTTCTCACTTGTTCCATGTCCATGTGTTCTTTGTGTACCCCGCCGACCCCCCCGCCCAACCCCTGTGGAAAGGTGTAGGCCTGGAGTCTGGAGTTGTGTCCCCTGCCCCCCCCTCTTGATAAATACCATAGTTGTTCGTAAACCTTTATAAACCCCTAAACTAAACCCAAAACCATCAGGGAACTTTAGTAACTATGGGTTCCAAGTACCTCCATCGGGGCTTGTAAGTAAGCTAGTCAAAGCTACGTACTTCGGCCTGGAACTCGCAACAGTACATCTGGGCTCTTGTTAAGGGATTTTATTTAAGTTACCATAGTAGGGATCCACAGTAAATAGTATGGTTTCCTTATTATGGTAACTTAAATTAAATCCCCTAACAAGCACCCAGACATGGGTGTTGGCTTGCAGAGGATCCTCTTTGGGGTTTCCATGATGGTTCCTGGTGTGTTAGAGCAGCGTCTTGATGGCCTTGTACAGAGTTTCCTACTACCACAACATCGTTGGTGGTTGCCTTCCTAGAATGTCTACCCACCCTAAACCCTAAACCCCTAAACCCTAAATCCCTAAACCCTAAACCCCTAAACCCCTAAACCCCGAAACCCTAAACCCCTAAACCCCTAAACCCCGAAACCCTAAACCTGTTCTGCTCGAACTCATCTTAGGACGCTGGTAGGGTTTAGGTTTGAAGGCCTTGGAGTCCAAAGCTTGGGGCTGTGTGGGCTTTAGGGGTTTAGGGTTTAGGGTTTAGGGCTTTAGGGGCTGAGCTTGTGGCTTGGCTTAAGAGTTTACGTTTCCCAGGGATATGAGTTCTAGGGATGTGAAGGCCTTAAGCCCTAAAACCTAAACCCTTGTAGGGCTTTGTAGTTTTTTTTTTCGAGTTCGGGTTCTGTGTTCACGGCTTGGGGAGCGCAGGGGAAGAGGTTGAGGTTGGAGTGTAGGGTTTGGGGTCTTGTATTACGGTTCATGGTGTCACTTTGCACGAGCGCCTCGCTTTGGTTTAGGGGGTTTAAATTGCAGTGCAGGTTATGGCCTTGGTGGAGAGAGCTTAGCCAGAAACTTGCCTAAGAGCGCACGGCATGCCTTCGGAGAGACGTGGCGCAGTACAAAGCCACTTCAGCTACATGCCACATGGCCCAGGTCAGCGAACCGGATAACGGGATCTGGCGCTCGTACTAGGGCAGAGGGTTCAGTCACAACAACCAGTTGAACAGATCCCACAAGAGCTCCAAACAAACCCGAAACATCCCAAACCCTCAACCAGGAATCCTGAACCCAACCCGGCGGCCTGCAATCTTCCAACTTAACCCTATATAATCCCTTAACCCCCTAAAACCCTAAACCCCGTAAACCCTCAAAGCCCTAATCCCCAAACCCTCAAGACCCTAAATCCCTGCTCCTTCCAGGGAAGGCCGAGAGCTGGAGAACATGCTCACCGATCCTTGTCCTTGCTGGTTTTGGGAGAACCCTACTTATGGCTCTCTTAAAAGGGGTATGTAGTTTTATATAGTACAATATAATATGATATAATATAGTACCATATAATATAATATGTTATAATATAATATAGCATAATCTAATAAAAATAATATAATATAATAGAACAGAATATGATATAATATCCCCAAGGGTCCTTGGGCTGCAGCGTCGTTTCCTGTCTGAATGCCTCAGGGCTGGCTGCTCAAGCCTCCCTGGGAGAAATAGCCCTATAAACCCTAAACCCTAAACCCCAGACCCTAGACCCTAAACCCTAACCCCTAAACACTATAAGCCCTAAACCCTATAAGCCCTAGACCCTAAACCCCAAAACCTTAAGGACTCTGCCCAAGTCTGAAGAAGTGAGGAAATCCGAAGTTACGTGATCACCGGAGCTACTAGAAAGGATGGTTGCAAGTGACTGGTAGCTGGTGTTGCTTTTTTCTTGCAGGCCATGATTTAGGTACCCTGTACCCTGAACCCCAAACCGCTGTTGGCCATGATCTTGGCGAACCCGGCTTTGTGTTTGGTCTCCTCCGGGTCGCATTTTCGAGCCGTGAAGCTGAACCCTAGCCCTAGCCTACACACCCATTCAAAACGGCAGTCCGAGATCAGGAACGGATGGGGCTGCCATTTCCGAAGGGCTACGTCAAGAACATGCTGCAGGATCTCCCTCCTTCCTTCGCACTCCTGCGGCTTTTCTGAAGCTCAGACAGGAGGAGGCCCTAAACCCTAAACCCTAAAAACGGCCCTACCCCATAGGCTCCTAAGTAGTTCCTTTTTTATGGTTCAGATGTAGAATCCTATAAGGCAACCTGGATTTGGGGTGTTCGGGGTTTTGGGGCTTTAGGGTTTCAGAGTTTCGTCTCACAGCCCAGGCACGCTTTACTGTCACTTTCTTAGCCGTCGAGGTCTAGGTCCTCGAAGGGTCCACGTAGCTGGCCCTCCAACGGCTCAAGTTTTTTTTTTTTGTTGGGGGGGAGCTGCCCTTTCGTAAGGGTATATTATAGCTCGTGCGGCCTTCATGTCAGAGCATTCCAGAAGTCATGCTCTGGTATGCATCTGCATATGAGCATCACAGTGAATCATAGCACTCGTTTCATGTACAGTACGGTGTAAAGTGACGCAGAACAGTTTGGTTTTTCAATGTTTTAAGGCCCAACTCTCCAATCCTTAAAAGGGATCCTTGAGCAAGAACATGGCCTGAAATTCATATAAACATACATCCAGGGTTTCGGGTTTATGGTTGAGTATTCTGACGGTTTAGAGTTTAGGGTTAGGGTTGAGTGTTCTGTACGAGCACCGGTGACGCCCGGGTCTCCGACACTGAAGACCTCCGAGCCCTCAATTCCAATCTCCAAATGCCACCCCCCCCGCCCCCCCGCCCCCCCAAAGGCGACTTCTAGATTCTAGACTTCCAGTCGGCGAATAATGGTTTCAATCTGGTTTCGGAGTTTCGGGGTATGTTACAGCATAGGTAAGGTACGTTTTAAGGTACGTACCGTACTAGTGTTTCCGACCCACTACATTATACCACCCTAAACCCCTAAATCCCTAATCCCTAAATCCCTAAGTCCCTAAATCCTTAAATCCCTAAACCCTAAATCCCTAAATCCCTAGACCCGAAAACCCTAAACCCCTCAACCCTAAACCCTAAGCCTAAACCCCACAACCCTAAGTCCCTAAACCCCTCGACCCTAAATCCCAAAACCCTAAAGCCCTAAACCACTCAACCCTAACCAAGGAAGCTTTTGCCTCAGTCTAGGACATTCTCAGGTGGGTAGTTACCGTTATAGGAGCCTTATAGGAGCCTTGTAGAAGCCCT